TACGATCTTTTCTTATGCAGATGACACTGCTGTGGTTTTTTATGGATCATCTTGGACTGCAGTGAAAACTGAGGCTGAAAATGGGTTATCAGAAATTGGTGAGTGGCTTAGAACTAATCTGTTGACACTAAACACACAAAAGACTAATTACATGTGTTTTTCAATTTTAGACAGTAATCAACCCATTAATGATTTAAACATTCAAATACATATCTACGATTGTGATAGGGATGCTAACTGTCGCTGTCCCTCTATACCTAAGGTAGCATCAACTAAATATCTTGGTATTATGCTAGACCAAAAACTTTCCTGGCAGTCGCATATTGATCTCGTCGCGACTAGAACACGTAAGCTGATGTGGATTTATGAAAATGCTGAGACATGTTGCCGACAAGAAACTTATCAACCAAGTGTATATGGCATTAGCTCAACCCATATTAACTTACTGTCTGACAGTTTGGGGAGGGGCTCTAAAAACTAAATTTCTCGTGGTTGAACGGGCTCAAAGAGCGTTAATAAAGGTGATGTATTTTAAAAATCGTAGATATGCAACACAAGCTCTATATTCCGTTTCTGATATCTTAACAATTAGAAAACTATATATTCTCCATACTGTAGTAAAAAAACACATGTTTTTAAAATTTGATCCGAGCATATTGCATAAAAGAAGACATAATAATGTGGCCACAGTTAAACTTACTCATACTCAATTCGCAAGAAATCAATTTCAGTATTGTCATCGTTATTATACAACCGCTCCAATCAAAATTTAAATCTATATCCAGTGACGAGCAGGGAATGTAAAATAAATTTGACTGTTTGGCTTAAAAAACAAACTTTGTTAAAGAAATAAACTTTTATTTTATTATTTATTATTATTATATAATCAAAGCTTCGGAGTTATAAATTGTTAAAGACTTGAAAAATCCAAATTTCGGATACTTTTGACTCACAAATATATAAAGAAATGTATACAAAAATGATTTTTTTTACTCTCGCTTACCTGTTACAAAAGTTTGAAGAAATCTCCTAACTAGCCTAATAACTAACCAACCACAGAAACGGAAGGTGCGCTGTCGTGGTGGTGCCTTAAATGTTTAGAACCACTGGACTTTATGTGGGATAATTCCAATCAATGCTTTATGTAGAGGGGTATAGACGAAACGAAAAGTAAATCCAAACCTTCTGTCGCAAGTCAAAAAAGGAACACTTTTCCGAATTTTCGGTATTAGCCCGCGTTATATCGGAATTGTGCCTTATCCAGAAGAAAAATATATCAAATTTTAAATGATTTTATTTACGCAACGCAAAGACATTTTATTAAGATGAATAACAAAATAATTAGGATATGTATTTCAATAAATAAAAGTGACATGACTTGCTTGTAAACTTGGATAGATTTATTAAAAATAATTATTAAATAGTATCGTATCAACCAATCAGAAAATATGTTGGATTCGCCCCAAAGCGCCTTACTTCTACGAATCGTATCGCTTGTTTTTAACTCTCTGCGTTTAGTGCTATCCAGTAGGTACCAATGGTCCAACCCGTAAATTAAACGCGATAAAATCTGTTAAAGTAGTTTCATTCAAGCATTCTTGTATATTGATTACATACTGAATAATGTTTTTCTATTTCGCTTAGAATACCAGAGTGAAATAACAGTATAATTATTTTGTTTTCAACCGACTTGAAAAAGGAGGAGGTACTCAATTCGACCGTATTTTTTATGTGTGTTACCTCATAACTTTTTTAAGGTGGACCGATTTTGATGTTTGTCTTTTTATTTGAAAGCTGGTACTTTTCATGTGATCTCATATAATTTTGAGCAATATCTAACGAGTAGTTTTTGATTTATCCTTAATAATGCGTATTTAATTGGCTACATTGATGATGTTCTCATTTTGTTTATATTGAAGTCGGTTGTACAATTTTTTTAATTTTACCACTTGTTATGTAAAGTGTAAAGTTAATTCCGTCCTCCATGGTGGCACTACACCGAAGCCGTGGAGCAGAAGTGTGGTGGTCTTGTTCTTCAATAAAGGCGTCAACGCTCTCTTTAACTACAGACCGATTTCTATGAGACGCGTCTACGTGCTGTTTTCGAGAGTCATTACGAATCGTCTCGCACACAGACTCGACGACTTCCAGCCCCTCAAACAAGCCGTTTTCCGAAAGGTCTTTAACACCGTAGTCCCTTCGGCAAATGTACAGAAAACCAAGGAGTACAATTTGCCACTATGTCTTGCGTATGTGGACTATGAGAAAGCCTTTGATTCTGTCGAAATTCGGGCGGTGCTGCACTCCCTTCAGCGGTATGATCAACATGTAGTTGTGATATTATGGCTACTTGCAAAAATTAAATGCATGGTCATGAGAATTAGGGATCAACGGGTTGTTATCATATCACGTTAATTTTGTATTAAGCATTATTTACACAATCCTCCAAGCCGTGTCGCCGCGTATTGGCGACGTAAAATAATCCACTACCGATATCATCCTGTGTGTGCCGTAAGAGGCGACAGAGTGAAATGAACCAGGAGATGGGCAGCAGCGTCTTTCTGACAACAACTCAAAATAATAATAAAAAACTGCTGTTGCCAGCACACGTGCAAAGCGTGGCAACTTTGGCAAATATCCCCCTATGAGACAATATATGAGAACTATGTTTAGCTGTGAAACATTATTAACGAAAACAATTTAACTATAGGTATAATTAAATTAATTTTTATATTGCAAACACTGCGTAAATTGCATTTAATTCAACTCTCTAAAATGTAAAGGTTAGAGGTTAAATAAAAGGTCAGGTTTATCCAGTCGGGGATTCAGAATCACTCGAGATTTTCAAGAACGTTTGTTCACTGAAATTAACAGGGCTCAATGTTCGAACAAATGAAAGGTCGTAACTATAACAATGCTTGTATTATAGCCGAGGGGCTCGTTGAATCGTGTAAAATATGTGTTATTATGTTTAACCGACTTCATAAAAAGGAGGAGGTACTCAATTCTACTGTATTTTTTATGTGTGTTACCTCAGCACTATTTTGTAGGTCATCTAGGTGAACCGATTTTTATGATTCTCATGTGGTCCTATATAAATTTGTTCAAGATCTGACCAGTAGTTTTTGAGTTATCTTTAATAATACGTATTTAATTAACTTCGACTACATTGATGATGTTTTCATTTTATTAATTTTTTTTAGGATAGGGTGACAAACGAGCACACAGTCCACCTGATGGTAAGTGGTTGCTGTGGCCCATAGACATCTACGTTTATCCTCGTTTGCAAATCAAAATGCAGATGCGTTGTCACCCGTGAGGACTAAGATGAAATGCCTCTTTTCCAGTAAAAAGGGTCTCCGTTTCTCTACACTCACCATACGAAACACAGCAGTGTTAAGCTGCTATTTTACGCTGGTATTCTGTGAGAGCGTGGTCCTTCCCCGGTCGAGCCGACCCATTCGTGCTACAACTATACTACTAATATAGCTGAAGCATGGCTCTACCACGTATATATATTATATTAAAGTCGGTTGTACAAAATTTTTAATTTTACCACTTGTTCTTCTTCTATTAATGGTGACAAACTACGGTTGAATGTGACGCACAGTTCTATCATAGAGTAAGAATCAAATGCAGGCGTGTGGCCACCCCTGAGGACTAAAATCGAATGCCTTGTTAAAAGGGCACCAGTTAAAAGGGCATCCGCTTGTCGTCCACCACAAAACACAGCCACACAACATTTCACACTGGTATACTGTGCGAGTTGACCAATTCTATCTACAGCCATGAGCACGTTCCATTACAATGTCTTCCTTCACCATTCGGCTCGTGGTAGGTTAGCAAACGCAACTAACTATTTCATTGGTACTGGTACCATAGAGTACCTAATTTAACTAAATAATTACTTTGTTTAGTAATGTTTAAAGAAAATTTTTTTTTGAAATTGACTCGTATAGTTATAACTTTAAAAAGTGTCAAGTAACTGGAAAGTATCCTCTAAAATATTTCGTAAAATTACTTCACAAAGTGCTGATGCGTCATGCGATTTTTTGGGAGATTTGACGACAGCTTAACGGACAGGCGATGGCGACAGTATCTAGATCTTAAAATGCCTAAGCTAACAAAATAACTTGAGGTTTATATAAACATCGGGGCACTCGCTTCGTCGTTTCCACTAATAGTTCACATACGTTTACGTTTTATTACGTGGTAGAGCCATGCTGCAGCTATATTGTAGTTGGACTGTGCGTCCGTTTGTCATCCTTATCCTATAAAAAAAACATACACACAAAGTCTCATCACTTTTACATATCAAAATATAAAATTATTAAATAACATAATATTAATTATAAATATTCAAACCATTAATAGAAGTAAGGGCCGGTATGTCAAGTTCCCGCCAAATCTTAAAAAAAAATTAGATTTTATGGACCCTGTACGTATATTTTTGTATTCTTTTGTACTTTTTCTATTATTTTTTTCGTTTAGTTTTTACATAAAGCCAGTGTTATATAGTATATAAACAGCTAATCCGTAATGACTGCTTGTGAATTTTGTCGAAGGTACCGGCAGAAAAACAGTGCTACGGTAATGTTGTTGAAGCTTATGTTGAGTCGGTGACCGTTTCGTTGATACGTTTCTTTTTTTCTCTTTTTTTAAAAAGAAGCGTTACTCCCTCATTTATATTTACTCCGGTATCGTGAAGGCAGTTTACCGTACATATATTTCACAATGAAAGACCTCACTGCTGTAGCTCAATATTACTTTTCCTTTGTCTATTTATTAAAGAATACTAGTAACGCTAGTGGTACTAAGCGAATGGTGGAGTAGAACTCGCGACTCGCAATTTACAGTTCAAACTCTTACCCCTGATACTGTAGCTTTTTAATTCTTGAACTTATTGGGCCATGTTGTGATGTTCTAGTCTTACACGCCGTGGCACATGCCAACGATGATTCGCTTTTCAGATCTTTAATAAAAATTATCTTCTTTTACAGAAGCGCTAAAAGCGTATAGCGAAAGGCTTACTGAATGGGAGAGGAATGAAGTGAGGAAATACCCAGAAGTATGGTTCCTCGGTCTCGAGGCGAACAAGGTGCAGGCTCGCTCAAATTTACCCAACAATAGCGGTTTCGACGATGAAAATGGCAGCTACAATAAGGTACAAAAATAGTAAATATGATTAGTTTTATTCTTTTATCATCTTAAGCGACATCAACCTACAGCGACCAAAGTGACATCTGTCGACTAAAATAGTGATAAGATAGATTTTTTTTATTATTATGATGTTGTTATCGGGAATATACCGTTGCCCATCTCCTGTTTCAGTTTCCATTGATCGCTTCTTACGACACCCACAGGATAATATGGGGTAGTGTGGGCTTTTTTATAGAATATAAAGGGTGACAAACTAGCACACAGTCCACCTGATGGTAAGTGGATGCTGTGGCCCATAGACATCTAGATCTATCCTTGTGTAGGCACGTAAATAGGCTTTTTCTCGGTCTTAAGAGGGTAATGAAACAGAGGGGAATTATTCTTGCAGGTTCAGTGAGTGTGAAGGCATTTGCATGTCGTGAAATAGCCTTTTATTAGAGTTACGGATTACTTATATTTACAGTACTATTTAATTTTGTCGGAAATCGATATCGTGAAAGAATAAGGCTCAACCTCCGCACTATCGTGACTCATTGCTTTCAATTTTTATTTACTTTAAACCATGAATAAAAAAGATGACACCAGAATAATACTAGATTCTTAATAGAATCGGGTTAAAATTAATATATCAATGTTAAAATTAATTAGCTAAAATCCGCGTAAAAAATGACAACCGGGTAAGTGCGGACTGCACTCGCGCAGAAAGGGTTCCGTAATATCGTAAAACACGTTTCCAGTAGGGGAACCCCCTTAAAATTTTAATTTATTACTGTGAAAATTTTAACTGTGTACCTATTACAGATCATGAGATACAGCCCGCTGACAGACAGACGGACGGACAGCTGAGGCTTAGTAATAGGGTCCCGTTGGTTACCCTTCGGGTACGGAACCCTAAAAATTATGTGACTTACCTAGCTTGAAGCGATTCCTTTATTTAAAGAATAAGGGTAACTAACGAGCACACAGTCCTTCTGATGGTAAGTGAATGCTTTGGTCCACAGACATCTGCATTTATCCTCCATTAAAAAATAAAATGCAAATGCGTTTTGTCATCCCTGAGGACTAAGATGGAATGCCTCGTTTCCAGGAAAAGGGTATCCGGTTTTCTACACTCTCCATGCGACACACGCATCAAACTGCTATTTTCTATGAGAGCGTGGTCTTTCTCCGGTCGAGCCGACCGATATTGAAGCACAGCATGGCTCTACCACGTATTGTTTCCTCCATTAATTTTAACATCTTTCGTACTAGATTCAATATCATTTAAAATAGTATGATTTAGAGACTAATATTTTGGCTAATATTACGATAATGTGTCATTCAAATTATCCGCAGCAAATCCACGACCACATAGCGTACCGTTACGAGATCCTCGAGGTGATCGGCAAAGGCTCTTTCGGGCAGGTCATAAGAGCGCTGGATCACCGCACCGGAGACCAGGTCGCCATCAAGATCATCAGGAACAAGAAACGCTTCCACCACCAGGCGCTCGTCGAGGTGCGAGTGTTGGACCACCTCCGATTGAAGGACAAAGACCAATCGCACAACGTTATACACATGCTAGATTACTTTTACTTTAGAAATCATCTTTGTATCAGTTTTGAACTTATGAGGTGAGTGCTTTTTGATTTTTATTTATTTATTTATTGCGGGGAGCTAAGTGCCAGACGTTATTTAACAGACGCGGGCAACCCGGATTCGATCCCCGCCGGAACCAATGAGTTTTTAATTGCAAATTTAATTGTTGATTTACTACGTTGCTGGTAGTAAAGAAAAACATCATTCTGGGAAATTAAAAAAAAATATTTCGAAGACATGTGAAGTCCGATAACACGCATTGAGCGAGCGCCTTGCGGACACTTACTTAGCCTAACATCCTCTTAAAAGTAAGGTAAGCCCTGTGTCCAGCAGTGGGACATATAATATAGGCTGCAAATTTAACTTTAATTTTTATTTATTTATTCTAAAAAAAGAAATATAATTCTTTTTTTTTCCACCTTACTAGGTGGAAAAAGGCTCCTTTACTACTTATAGAATAGAATAGAATAGAATAGAATAATTTTTATTCAATATAGATAACAGTACATAATATTTATTGAAAGTCATTTTTTACTTTTACCACTGTGGTTTGCAAAAAAAACCTCTGTCCTGGGAAAAACCAGCAAGAAACCCACCGGGACTTTTTAAAAAAAAACACAATTTACAATGTAATATTTTATCAATTATTATGAAAAAACTTTGAAACAGCATGGTAGCGATCACTTTATTCCCAGGGGTTATTATCAGTCATGTACTCTTTAGTAGTATAATAACCCTTACTAGACAACTTCTGTTTAATATATAATTTAAACCTTTTGATAGAAAAGGTCTCCATATTAATTTATAGTCATATGGTTAGGTGCAACCCTCTCTCCTGTTTCTACCGCCAACCAGGAGTGTCCCGCAATGTGTCAGAAAATAGTTTGTGAGGCTTTTATCTTAGCCCTCAGAGGTCAGAGGTGAAGACACATCGTTGGCCCCATTTTGTTTAAAATTTACTTCAGGTGTCTATGGTCTGCAGTAAGCATTTACCATCAGGCGGACTGTGTGCTCGTATGTTACCCTTGTTCTATAAAATAAAAATAAAATAAAGGAAACGTTATCACGACAATTATAGAAATATTAGCACCTTAAAAACACTATAAATATATAATGTATATGTATACAGTCCACACAAATCGCATTGATTTGATTTCGTAAAATAGTATATAATATTTATAATTATAGTAGTATAATATTTATAATTATTTTCCAATTTTGTAGAACTCTAAAATTAAGTCGGATATAAAGTTGCGTCGGGTCCAGTACGTGGTACCCCCGCCTAAGGGTATTAGTGTTCTGTGGTGGTACCAATCTGTACGAATTTGCACAACTCCAGTGGATGCTTCATAAATTAGAATATTATTTTTAAAAACAAATAATTATATGCTTACACTATAGTATTTAGCTTTATACAGGGTTATTTTTCAAAGAGTAGCCAAATTTTAAACATAATTTCTAATATATAAATAATGACATTCTGTTGTTGCAGTTTTTGAAAATACGAGTTTATTTAAAATTGTCCAAAATTTAATGTGATTTGTGAACAACGTTTTTGCCTACCGATCAACCTTTACGAATGTGTGCGTGCGCAGTAAAATCAGTTAAACTAATGTTTTACCACGCATTTTGAATTTAAAAGATAAAAAGGACAGAATTATGAGATTTTTTTTTATTAATTTTTCTTCACCATTTGCCTATATTACTTATTGTGAATCTTCTCTGTAAATTTGGCCGGTTATTGCTAAATAACCGTGTATAAAGCTCTTCCTGACTTTGGTAATTAAATTTCCAACGTGTATATAAGGGTATATTACAAAAATGTACGTCCACCGCTTGGTATGATCTTTTTATAGTAATCGACATAATTAGCAAGAAGGTTGGAGGTCGCAGTCCCAAAAGCTTTGACCTTTGACGTTATACGCTTTAGGTGGTTACATTCTGGCTTATTTACAGTACAAACATAATTATCTTACGCCAACGTTACAGTGAGGCACTCGCGTCCTTTCATTTCTAAGAGGGTTTAAGAGCAGGGAAGTGTCCGGCGCGCTGTCCCAATTCGTATTGATGAACTTCACATATCTTTGAAATATTATTTATTTTAATTAATCGAAAATAAAAACCTAAATCAGTGCTTAAAATTGCAAACAACAAACTAGTTCTCAGGCGTCGTTCTAACATAGCGCGAATGCGCGATCATCGCAAGTTCGCGTGAATTGTACTCATACGAACACGCGATCAAACATACTGATCTCGAATGGGTGTCCTAATAGACATTCGCGCGACTTTATTGTTTGAAAATCTATTCGCGCGAACTTAGTTCGTACGAACGCGCGAACTGTCGAACAGGTGTCCTAATTTACATTCGCACGACAATCGCGTCGTGTCGTCGGGCAGCGGGGTGTAGGGCAGGAATCCGACCTATATTGATTACCTTAATGACTTGACTTATCTTGTAGGGGACAATCACGTTATAGTATTATTTGCAGACGATACCTCTTTAATTTTCAAACTCAAACGGCAGTAAATTAATTATGACGATGTAAATAATGCTCTATCGAAATTAGTACATTGGTTTAACACCAACAATATGCTCTTAAACGGCAATAAGACAAAATGTATTAAATTTACAATACATAATGTAAAACATTCGAAAACAATGTGCTCTTAAATGGGGAGGAGATGAGTCTTGTGGATACCACTGTTTTTCTTGGTATTACTATTGACGCGAAATTTCAATGGGGTCCCCATATATCTAAATTAGCAAGCAGACTTAGTTCTGCAGCATATGCTGTAAGAAAGATTAGAAGTCTCACAGATGTTGAGACAGCTAGGTTAGTGTATTTTAGTAACTTTCATAGCGTAATGTCTTATGGAAATTTGCTATGGGGTAATGCGACTGATATTAAAGCTATATTTGTTTTGCAAAAGAGAGCCGTCCGGGCGATTTATAACCTAAATTGTAGTTGAGTCCCTCAGAGAAAAATTTAAAGAAATAAACATATTAACTTTGGCATCGCAATATATTTATTAAAATGTAATGTATGTACATAAAAACATAAATAGCTTTAATAAGAATAAGGATGTTCATACCTTAAACACTAGGAACAAACATAAGCTTGTAATGCCAGTTACTAGACTCCACAGAATTAGTAATTCATTTATGGGGCAATGTATTATACGCTTTTACAACAAAATCCCAGAACATGTTCAAAGTTTGTCAGTAAACAAGTTTAAAAGTTTTATGAAAGAAAAACTGTACAAAAAGCGTTATTATAATATCAAGTAATACATGATTGAAAGTAACCCCTGGGAATAAGGTGATCGCCACCATGCTGGTTCTACGAAAATTTATTTAAAATTGTATAAACAAAATTATTGTTAAGTTAAATTATGTTTAAAAAAAAGTCCCGCTGGGTTTCTTGCTGGTTCTTCCCAGGACAAAGGTTTTTTCCGAACCAGTGGTAAATAAAAAATGACTTTCAATAAGTATTATGTAATAATCAATATTGAATAAAAATCATTCTATTCTATTCTATTCTTTATTCTATTCTATTGAAATTCACCACGTATCGGTCTCATTTCCAACAAAGCACATTGCGACCCATTTCGATTTTTTTTCATTGCTGTCACCAGACCAGCAGAATAGGTTATCCATATATTTCCAAAAAGTTAAAAAATAAAGAACTTGAAATACCTAAACTTGAAATCTTAGGATGTTTTACTGGATGTAGACTCTCTGATTTTACAAAAGAAAACATAGAATTAAAAATAGACAAAATGTATTTATGCGAGCACGCAATGGTCGCATCGCTTACTCGCGCGATGATCGCGTAATCGCGATATTAGAACGACGCCTCATAGTCATGAAATTATTTCAATTTTATTTATTATTATTCTTTAATTATGTGAATAATTATTATTATTGTATTGTCATCGGTTCTTCTTTCTGCAAAATTTCAGATTATTCAGACGTCCGAAAGGAAAATTTAAAGTTACAGCGTATGCACATGCCTCCTCTCATACCTGAGAGGGCGGATTTGAAATATTTAAATTTTTAACTCCTAAGATATGCGAAGGTTGCTTCACAATGTAATTCCTTGACAGCCGAGCACGTAAAAATCAACACTTAAATTTGCAATTAACAATTTCATTGGTGCGGGATCGAACGCGGGTTGCTCCGTCTGTGAAATTACGGCTAATACTTAGCCCGTGAGCTACCTCGAAAACAAAATAGGTAATGCTTAAATTTGTTATTTCCAGCATCAACCTTTATGAACTCATCAAGAAGAACAACTATCAAGGTTTCAGTTTGAGTCTCATCAGACGCTTTGCAAGCTCGCTTCTGCGCTGCCTGAGGTTGCTGGAGAGCGAGAACATCATACATTGCGATTTGAAACCGGTAAGCTGCATTACATTATACAAATTCAATTCCAAAAACTAAATATGTTTAAAATAAAAAAAATGTTTTTTATTGAACTGAAGTTCTTACGTGGTTGGGCCACACTGCAGCTATACTCGTATTACGGTTGTGGCACGAATGGGTCGGTTCGACCGAGGTAGGACCACGTTCTCACAGCTTAATGCTGCTGTGTTTCGTATGGTGAGTGTAGAGAACCGGAGACCCTTTTAACTGGAAACTAGGCATTCTATATTAGTCCTGGGGGGTGACAACGCATCTGCATTTTGATTTGATTGAATGTAGATTTCTATGGGCCACAGCATCCATTTACCATCAGGTAGACTGTGTGCTAGTTTGTCACCCTTATTCTATATAAAAGTGACAAACGAACTTATTTACTGGTATATGGTCACATAATAGTGATGGTAAGTAACTACTGTAATAATCCATGGTCATCTGTAGCCGACTTCAAACTAAGAAGGTTACAGATGCGTTGTCACGTTTGAGGACTAAGATGGAATGCACAGACTAACTAGTAGATTCTACCGAGGAATGCCTCACAGTGTAATTATACTGACTCTAAGGGTATACATTTAAACCGTAAGTGCAAGCACTGTTAGTTGGCGGCAGAACTAGGTAAAATAGTGTTATTTAACTGGATGGACTGTTTAGCAGAAAGTCCTACCACATACGCAGGCATCCTTTTACTCTGTGAGCATTATATTAGTCTGTGCTAACCGCTTAGTATTTAGCTTCTATCCCCGTGATAAAAATTACAAGTATATGTTAATCCAGGGCTTGGTCTATCATCGAAAACTTTTTCATGTATTCTAACTATAGTTTTCAAATTAACTAAACCGCATATTTCACTATGTTATGACTGCAATGACGATAATGATTGTATAGATTTCCTTGAATTATTTCAGGAAAACATTCTACTCAAAGCGCGAGGCAGTTCATCCATCAAGGTGATAGACTTCGGTAGCTCGTGTTACACGCACGCGCGCGTCTACACCTACATCCAGTCGCGCTTCTACCGAAGCCCAGAGGTCATACTTGGTCTTCAGTACGGCACGCCCATCGACATGTGGAGTATGGGTGAGATGCAACATTTACTGTTATTATTACAGTGGAGCTTGCAAGCTCATGGTCCAAGCACCTGCCGTAAATTTGTTGTTTAACCACGTGCTCAGCGGAGAAGGAAAACATTGAGAGGAAATCTGCTTAATGAATAAAACAGTCGAACACATGCTAAGTCCGCTAATAGCATCTGTAGCAGCGCCATGCGGTAGGACGCATATAGACTGTAACTACTTTATAATTTTTACTACTTATGCTGCCGTGAGGTGTTGGTGTAAAAGTATCCATCACCCAATTCTTCTCTTGGGTGTCGTAAAAAGCGACTATGAGATATCAGCAAGACCTGATTATGACTTCTGATAGATGGTAGTGTCACTCGTTAAAACCAGACGTAAAGAAAAGAAAGAAAGAGAAAGAAAGACGTAATTTATTCACTGGTCATAACACATCACGTTTTTCATCACATCACGGCAACCTAACTGTCCTTCGTCGCCGTTCGCTTGGCCTCGTCGCAACAGCTTCAAAGGTGCCAGACTTCTGGAACTGTAATAACCATTTCGCCTGCAAAGCGTGGCGATTACGGCATATCTTCTCTACAACGGGATAGGTCCATGCCCAGCTGTAGACTTTTACTTGCTAATAAAGTAGAAGAAGGAAGTCTATGAATGCAGGTGACTAGGGACCGTGCTTAGTGACATTCCTTGGCTATGTTCAGCGGTGGACTTGTAAAGTGCAGTAATGATGATGATGATAAAAGCAGAAAAATAAAACTTACATTAAACACAAACATTCTTTTTTACACCAAAAACACAATAAGAGTTGTTTAATACTTAAGCACATATTTGACTATCGTTTTTTTGTTAAAAATTTGTTACATCTGTGACCAGATACTTTAAAATGCGTACAATAGAATACAATCTATTCAAGTGAATGCCTTATGTGGTATAGCCATGCTGCAGCTATATTAGTAGTATATTTGTAGCATGAATGGGTCGCCTCGACCGGGGAAGGACTACGCTCTCACTGAATACCAGCGTAAAATAGCAGCTTAACACTGCTGTGTTTCGTATGGTTAGTATAGAGAACCAGAGACCCTTTTTACTGGAAAAGAAGCATTCCATCTTTGTCACGGGTGACAACGCATCTGCATTTTGATTATTTATTGAGGATAGATGTGGATGTCTATGGGTCACAGCAACCAGTTACCATCAGGTGCGTACTCGTTGGTCAGCCTATCGTATAAAAAAAGTGAAATCTGCCGATACTTACGCTGATAAATCACCGCGACGTCCCATGAACTCGAAACGGGTTTTATGTGTAAATGTAATGATCATGTCGCAGTTTAGACAACCTGTCGCTTGCGTAACAGACATTTGTAGAAAGCAGAGAGAAAGGCTATTACAACACGTGCGCTATCCTCAAAGCTTGTGATTTTAACGCCCATTTTTATGTAATTTTTGAAGAACAAACTTGTTTCGGCGTTATCAAAGTATTCTGCCGAGTGACCCTATATAAAAAATATTTCATTCATTCATAAAATCAAACATCTACATTTGAGGTTAGGTTACACCCACGTTAGGTAATTTTTTCAAATATTTTCTAGGATTAATAAAATATAAAATACTTATTGAATGAGAATTCTAGTTTTATATATAACTAGAGGACCTGGCAGACGTTGTCCTGCGTTGGATATAAAAAATCTAGTATCCGATTGCAGCGCCACCTACCGGTTCTAATTGTGAATCTAAACCATCCAGGGACCTACTGAAACACACAACTTTTTTGTCAAAATCGGTTCAGCTGTATAGGAGTTCAGTGACAAACACACGGACAAAAGAATTATATAATTACAGGTGGAGGAACTACAATTCAAATACATCATAATCACTCTTCATAGACTTTTCATTTGCCATAGTTGCAACGTTTTGCAGACGGACTATCGATCAACATTTTTTATTAGTTTGAGTTGATACCAAGAAGATGCTGCTACTAATCTCTATTTCAGTTCCATTCCGGAGTAGTGCGTTCTATTATTCATGACGATATAAAATGAAATTTGTATTCGTTTTTAGGCTGCATCCTCGCAGAACTACACACGGGTTACCCACTGTTCCCGGGCGAGAACGAGTCGGAGCAGTTGGCATGTATCATGGAAGTGCTGGGGACGCCGCCGCCGGATCTACTGCTGCACGCTACAAGAAAGAGGCTGTTCTTTGGTAAATATTTACGGTTTCGGAGAAAAACCCACCCACATTCTGCATGTTCTGCGAAATTTCTACAAAATCCAGCTCCATTTCGTTTTATAACGCTGATGAAATAATACTACGTAGACGTCAGAAGGAATCATATTTTGCTCACTGCGTGTTTGCATACTGTGAAAAGTATAAAATCCCTAAATTTAACTAAAAGTTTATAAATAAAAACATGCCACAATTTTTTTTTCTTAATAAAAAAGATGTTACAAAATGAAATGTGGTAATTATCATTCAGATTAAAGTGAACGATTTGCATAGCAAGTTCCATAGATGGTAATATTTACATTTAAATTTATTACTATTTTAATGAATAAGGAATAGGTTCAGTGTGATCGCGGTCGTTGCATAAGCTATGCAACTCTAGTTACGAAACTGAGATTCTTTAAATACTCTACACTATAACATATATATCGTATAGCTAACATGCTTTTCCCGCGCTTTTGTCCACGTATATTTAAATAAAAACCTGTCACAAATTCTCTGAGCTTATTGACGGAATATGCTTATATGCATTTAGTCTGTCCCTTAGAGGCCTACATTTTTCTAAATTCAGCGATTGTCATAAATATGGTAATTTACAACTATTCGTAATGGTATACAGACTAAGCTAGTCGTAAATGTGCCAATTTTCTGGCAATACCTTAAAAATGTACAAGAGAGGACAAAGAAATATTTTTCAGCTCTTAACAACTAAAGAATTTGTCGGAAAGATCGTTTGAAACGGCGACTTATTCAAGATCTTTTTGCTTAATGGTCAATATTATAATTACCGTACTGTGTAGTAGCGGTGAAAGAATATCCACTACCCCATATCATCCGTATCCGTGTCGTAAAGGATACAAAGGGAATCTAAATCAGCGGATGAGGAGCAGCATCTTCCTGATAACAGCTCAAATAATTTAAAATTAAACATTTTGAACAGCCGACTTCAATATAAGTTATTAAAAATAACTCAAAAACTATTGGTCTGACCTTAATCAATTTGGTCATTGGAACCACAGAAGCACCAGCTTTCAAATAAAAAAAGAATCTTCCAAATCGGTTCACCCAGTAAAAAGTTATGAGGTAACACACATAAAAGAAACATACAGTCGAATTGAATACCGTCTCTTTTTTTAAAGTCGGCAGAAAATTAAAAACTGCGATTACCAACACCTTACAAGCGTATCAACTATGGTAAATATCTCCAGTATAAGGAAATCTATGGGAGAGGCCTATGTTCAGCAGTCAGCTTTGATAGGACGTAAGAACGATAATAAAATATAACATATATGCTCTGCAGCTTATGCTGTAAAAAAGATTAGAGATCTCACTAGTGTCGAGACAGCTAGATTAGTTTATTTCAGTTATTTCCATAGCATAATGTCTTGTGGGATTTCGCTATGGGGAAATGCGGCTGATTTAGAAACTATTTTTGTTTTGCAGAAGAGGGCCATAAGAGCTATTTACAACCCTAAACCGAGAAAGTCTCTTAGAGAGAAATTTAAAGAAATAAATATATTAACTTTGGCCTCTCATTATATTTACGAAAATTTAATGTATGTTCACAAAAACAAAGATAGTTTTAGTAAGAAAATGATATAAACACTGTAAACACTAGAAATAAACACAAGCAAGTCTCTTGACTCCACAGAGTCATTAATTCATGCTTGGGGCAATGTATACGCTATTGCAACAAAGTCCCAGAAAATATACAAGATATCTCTGTTACCAAGTTTAAATATTTAATTAAACAAAAACTGTACAAAAAGGGTTATCTATACTAATATAATAAAGCGGAAGAGTTTTTTTGTTTGTTTAAACGCGCTAATCTCTGGAACTACCAGTCCGATTTGAAAAATTCTTTTTGTATATTATGCGCGATACCATATGTCTATTTCTTATACATGAGCCATAAATAGGTATTTTGTGACAAAAAAATATTGAAAATTTAAAAGTGATTTATGAGCATTATTATTAGGCATGGCCTATTTATCCTTACGAACGAAAATTACTTCATCATCAAGACAATTTTAGGAAAATAAACTTTGTTCTTAATACCATGTTATTTGGACGCATAGTTTAAGAGATAATGTAAAATTAAAATAATTCAATACTTGGCTGGGTGCGCGAACGACGCATAAATCCTAGCCGCCCGGTGAAAACGTGGTGGGGGGGGGGGGAGGACGCTCAACCGGGAGGGGGAGGGAAAGTGGATAAAACTTACCTTCACTCTACATCATACATAACATGCCGACAGATAAAACTACTCCATTAATTATGCCAATTTTTCCATCCATTGCTATCAAATAAAATATTTAATTGCAATTATAAAATGCTTGAACTAGGTCATGTCGCGCACCACCGACACGTGATGACGCGGGTGAAACCGCGGGGCATAGCTAGTTAATAATATAAGTGAATACATGGTTGATAATAACCACTGGGAATGAGGTGGTCGCTTCCAAGCAGTTTCTAAAATAAATTTTGAAAATAGCTTGTAATAATTTACCTATTTTGTAAAATTAATTTTAAAAAACCCGCTGTGTATCTTGCTGGTTCTTCCCAGGACAGAGGTTTTTTTTTTCGAACCAGTGGTAAAGTAAAAAAATTACTTTCAATAAGAATTACTTGTAATCAATATTGAATAAAAATATTCTATTCTATTCGCTTCTGTTAATTAGTGACTAAATTATATATTAATAATTGTAATGTTAACATAATTTATTTCTGTAATTCTTGTTTCGTCTTCATTCACAGATTCAAAAGGCTCTCCGCGGACGGTCACTAACTCGAAGGGCCGCAAGCGCAGGCCGGGCTCGCGGGCGCTCTCAGCCGCCGTGCGGACTGATGACCCAGCTTTCCTACACTTTTTACATCGCTGTCTAGAGTGAGTGTATTTTTAAACTTTAAACTCAAAGTTGATACGTTCACTTATCGCGGAACAAGTATATATGTTCACGTATACGTTCACGTATCACGTATCACGTAAGCAATTAGCGAAGATCCGAGAAATAAAATAAAATGACGTGTCTTACATAATTTGAGGAGCACCTTCGGCGCTCCCGCCATTGCGTGCACTATCCCCGTCACCACTAATTCCAGCACCACTACTCCCAATACCACTACACTAAAAGACACACCACCGTCTACAATACGACTCGTGTTTCGTTTTTACACGAGACATCCTCACGTGAAATAGACCTGCGTTGGCTGACCGCCAATCCAAAAAAAATCCATGATACTAAGGAAGAGTCCGCAGTATCTTGGAACTTTGTTGAAAACAACTTACACATGATATATTCCGATTGACATGAGTCAATGAATATAGCTTATTTAAATTTTATCAAATTATTAGCGATCCACCGCACCTTCGGTCCAATTGTGCATCTAAACCATTTAAGGACCCACTCAAAAATACACAAACAAATTTATCAAAATCGTCCGAGCCGTTTTTGAGTTTTAGTGAGACTAACGGACAATTTATTTTTATATAGGTATAGAGATAATATGCTTGATATAATCTGTGGTTACGTAAATTAAAATTTAAAATTTAAAATAAATGAACGAATAAAATGAATGAAATTAGTATAATATATTACTATTTATGTTTTTAATGTGCTAATATTTACGCAATACTCTCGCAATCGATTATCTAATTTCATTGAATCTTTTAACTTTTCTTTTTATAAATATTTATATTATTTGTTGAGTTATACGTTTGATTTCTATAACATGGCTTTACGCTAGACGGTAAGTGGTTATACCGCTCTCTATCGAAAGCTGTGAGTTTTATTAGCGCTTTTCAAATTATTAAAAATAATTCTACTCCTAAAATATCCCTTAAAACATATAGATGAACTTCTCTTATATTTTCTTCTTATAGAAGACACATAGAAGCAAAACTTGTCCAATTTATTTTTATTTGCAATATTTGCTGCCCAAGGCGAGGCCTTGCAGACCCTCAGCCCAAATGCGCTGCTGTATGTGCCTATAAAAACATTTACATTGATTAATAAGCTGATGTCTAAAGCAAACAACTCGAAGTTCAAATTCCGGTACCACAAAATTTTATACATAGTTAAAAATTTAAAATTTTCTACAACGGAATTCAATATAAATTAAATTATTAAGGATAACTCAGGTTTAAGGATGGTCTGACTTTTTTGGGAAGCACCAGCTTTCAAATAAACAAAAATAATCATCGAAGTCGGTTCACCTAGAAAAAAAAGTTAAGTTATGAGGTAACTAACACACATAAAAAATACAAAAGAACATTCAGTCAGAATTAGTACCTCCTCCTTTTTGAAGTCGGTAGAAAAGTAACAAAAAACGAAGCATGACATTGGCCTCGTAAATTCTGATTATTTACGATTACGTGCAACTACTAACGTTATCTGGCGCTTTTAAAACCATGCAGTAGCAAAATCACGATACAACCTTGTTATATAGGCAAAATGGCATAATATCGAATAACAATAGAATTTGCGCACACAATTTGTAGTATGTTGTGTATAACATTTTGACCTGGTACATATGCGATCTAAGATGTAACAAATATAACATGAGTCTTGTCACTGTAGAAATAGAAACTAGTTTTTGGATTCACACGTTTAAGTCTAGGGCTATCATAACTTTAATGTTAAGTTAACACGGTGGATGCAAACGAAACTGTCACTCAAAGTTCACACCTTTTTGTGGCGTTTTTGTTCATACGCGTACGTTAACAGATCGTCGCTGTCTTCCTTAGTTTTACGAGACGTGTGAAGTATCAAATAAAAAAAAAGAAGAAACGGGCTGTCTATACAGTACGCTTTTTTAGCTCCGTTCTTGATAGGTTGAAGACAAATGGGTGCTTCTGTACTTTACGCTAAGGCTTTAAACACCATAATATATATTATGTGTACTTATGTATATATGTGTATGTATGTATATGTATATTTATATGTATATATTTATATACAATATATATATTTGTAGTCCTTTCTATTTTGATTACTGCTGCACCGCCTCTTGTTTGCCTGTCTCTGTTTAGCCTAATGGTTGACTGGCAGAGAATGCCCTATGGCATTAATTCCGCCATATGTACAACTTTGTGTACGAAAGATTTAATAATTAAAAATAAATAAAATAAATAATATTTCTTGCGTAATATCTCATTGGTCTAGTGGTCCTAAGCATGACTACTCCTTTATACCAGATACCAGATATCAGATATTAAATTAAGGAAGCAGCATGGTGCAAGGCATCTGGATATGTGGTTGCAAATCCGCCTGTGAATATATACAAATAAGGGTCACCCACCTACATCCACCCTCGATTAAAAATTAAAATGCTGAAATATTGTCGCACCTGAGGACCAAGATGGAATGCCTCGTTTCAAGTATATAGGTTCATTATTCCAAAGCTTCCCTTATATAGGATTAAGACGAGTAAGCGCGTCTATGTTTCCGCTTACATTTGTGGCACTTCCGGCGGTGATCGAAGTATTTTACCGTATTAGAAATTAACAAGCAGAAATACTACATCAGAATACAGAAAACTGTGGACATTAACCCGATGAGAAAGCGTGAAATATTTAAATATCAAAACATTAGCATCTCTAACAAACAATTAAGGTAATTTTTATCCGTGATGCATCGACTGAGTTCGCTCACGACCGACACTCGTGTATTGTAAGTTGACCTTTGGAGGGTGAAAGCAGTTGTGTGACTTTATAGCTGCTCTTTAAATCCCTTGCAGGGAAAATTCATAATTTATACAATCCCACTATAATGTTATAAATGTGAAAGTATGTTTGTAGTGATGTCTGTCGTTCAAGCTTGAACAGCTGGAAGGATTCTGGTGAAGTTAGGCAAAGAGGTCATATATATAGGGAAATAAGGCATTGAATACTTTTTATAATACTTATAAATAAAGTTCTAGTAATAAGTCGTCTTAAGTTAGAAGCAAGATCAACCTTAAATGACATAGTATGCGAGCAACTTGAGTTATATTCTGTGTGTTTAGGAACACAGCAGTCACCATCAGCAGGGATGTGTGTTTGTTTATCACTATTATTTCTATTAAAAATACTCCAAACGACTCCTAACTACTTTCTTTTTTAAATTAGTGGCAAGATATGAGGAGTTATCAGTCCAATTAGCTGGCTTATGTAGCCCATAGAAACCCACGGACACAAACCGATCTTCAAACAAAGAATACAGGATGCGATGTCGCCCCTGAAAACTAAGATGAAATGCCTTACATCCTATGATTATACTAATTCTCTAACCCACCAAACAGGAAAACAGTAGTAGGTGACTTGATGAATAGATAAAACAATAAATATACCAAACAATCCTAAATTAGTAGAAAAAATTTAAGTATATCGAAGGCCTTTTCAGAACACATGCATATAATCCGCTATATTATTATTATTAACAATTAGTTTTTTTAATTAATATTAACGAAACGTCCACAGCTCTCTACACTTTCCATTTTTTTTCTGTGCAGTCAGTGATTCGATGATTTTTTCCACAACATTCGTCATAAATAAGTCACACGCGACGCAAACACAGAGGCATCCGCAGTGAAAGGTTACTAAAGTGACGCAATGCAGCTATCATCTGGTAGACAAAGATTTACTCACACTACAGATGCGACAAGTCTTACATTTGTCTGTCTTTATTTATTACCAGCTTTCCCCGCAATTTCATACGTGCAATGCACGTACGCATCCTACAAATTTTCTTTCGACTTGTGCACGCGTCACGCCGAGCGCATTTTAAAATTGATATATATTTTTTAATAATAGCACTATATGCTAGCCCAAGCTTATCTTAATACGTCACTGAAAACCACGTCCACATGATTTACGTGCACAAACACACAGACAAAAGACAAAATGTCTGTTTACAATATGGTATATTTCTATAATATTTAAGACTAGTTGGGATATAATATATGAATGTCTAGAATAAAGAGTCTGCTAATATCTGTATAAAGAATGTGCTAAATAGAATAATAATAAATTAATAAATAACACCTGCTTGGTATAGGGCTTTCGGCAGAACCTAACTCAAACAGGGATGGGATATCTAAAACACCGTGGTTTCTGCATTTAATTTAGCAGACTGGCAATACGGCGCCTACGTAATTGTTTTTGTTTCACAAAGATTCTAGTTGGTTCCAGCTAGGTTGCGAGCATGGGACTTAGTTCTCAAGACAACTAATAGGTCCAGCAGTGGTTACTTGTTATGAATTAATTAACTGAAGAGATGGCAAATTAACCGAAATTTTCGTTTGATGTAAAATAATTAATGGTACTAAATTGATTTAACAAGATAATATATAAATCAATGTACTCCTATTTAGGTTCTATTAGTAATTCCTACTGGGAAATTTGCGGTGTAAGTAGAACTAATATTTAATTCTGAAATAGAAATACCTAGCAAAAGGCTTATCATAAAGTTGTTTCACAAATGAAAATAACTATTTTAGTACATCACTAAAATTTATCGATATTTTACATTATATCTCCCTTTTATTGCACTTAATCTTTGACAGTTTACATAAGAACTGGAATCGAGAGTGTGTGCCGCGCCTACCTCGCGGATTGGCTTACGGATTAGATAATGCGCTATCAAGATGCGTGGCCTCCCCTCATCTGCTGGTGATTTGTGAACTTAAATTACATAGTTCATTGGTTCACAAAACTACCGTTCACGCTGTGTTAAGTAACGAATTAGAGCCATTACTCATTCAGTGGACTTTGTTAAGCTGTAGTGATGATTATGATGATATTGTATTAGAAATTTTGTTCCTCTATATGAATAAAGTGGAAGTCTCTGTCTGTAATATCGAAATAACTGCCCTTACTTGAGCTCAGGTGCTATTATATTATATATT